ACTGGGCTGTTCTTATAGCGATCAGTTCGTGCTCGTATGGGCTGGATGCGGTTGTGGTGTCGAACAGCAATTCTCGGGTGAGGGATCTCAGGTGGTAGTAGGAGCCGGTGTCGAGGATGGTGCAGAAGCTTCTCACCAAATTTGCAGATGAGGTCGTGGTGATGGTCAGTGAGAGCCGAGAGGGTCAGTGTGTTGAGCTCTTCTTGATATGTGGAGTAGGAAGGGGAGAGAATAATCTTGCGATGCCCTCTTTTGTGTGTGCGCGCGCGCGCTCTCTTCATAAATAAGTACAGAAAAATATATAGCAGTAGCTGTCATGGATCTATCACCGCCTTACAATGTGCTTTCTTTCATATACGTCCTATACCCGTTAGCACCGTCTTGTACCTTCTCGCACTGTACTCACACTCGCCGCTGTGAACCTTGGCTGAGGGACTTACGACTTGAACGAGGAAGTAGTTAGGAGAAAGTTACACAAGGAGGGATTTAAGTGTAAATAGTTATAATGACCTTCGTGTACTTCACAACTTCCAGCACTTAAAACCATTACCATCACTCGTGAGGGCCACGGAGTGGTGGTTATGGCCCTCATATATCACAGTCACTCACATATATGAAGGAGTGGTGGTGACCCTCACCACAACCACTACCCTTATTTACGAGTACGAGAGAGTGGTGGTGGTGGTGGTGAAGCTCATCACAGCCACCACCGTCACTCACGAGTACGAGATATATATGTATGCTTGTATGTATATATTTATGTACTGTATATGCTGATAACCACAAGGAAAGAAGAAAACACGAAGTTCCCAAGCGCTTTCGTGTAATTCACATCGTGGTGAAGCTCATCACAACCACCACCGTCACTCACGAGTACGAGTGGTGGTGAACCTCATCACAACCACCACCGTCACTCACACGTCTCAGTAAGTCTGCGGCGCTGTCTCGACTGATTGAATTTTAGATTTCGCTGGGGAGTTGTCAACAAAATGTGAAATAAGATGAGTTTTCCGAAATTTTACCTTGTTGCGTCTGAACGCTTCTTTAAATTTTTGCACGTTTGGCTGATTCATTTTTACTTCTTCATGGAGAGGACGACGTCTGAACGTGGGTCAATATTATGTTAACTGGATGGTGGGTGAAGTTCTGCCTTCAAGAATGAATGTTGAGATCAGAAATCAACTTCTTTGCCGGGGAATGAATTCTTGATTTTGGAGAAAACCTTTTCTATTTACAGTGACATTTGAACTTTATTTTGGAGGAAAAATTTATAACAGAGCAAAAGTGAACCATTAGATGCCCTCAACACTGGACGCTTCTCTCACTACAGCACCTTAAACTAACTTCCATCTCAAGTATTATTATTAATCTTCTAAAGTAAAGTATTGTGTTCCGGGCGCCACTCAGTCCTCGGAGTTGTATCATCTGCATTACCAACTATTATTTACATTTTATGGCTTTGTTTACACGTAAGAGGTGTGAGGACAGTGTGGTGGACGCGTGAAGTAAGTAGTGTATATCTGTACAAGAGTCAGTGTGTTATACAATGCCGTTGACGTACGTATAGAAATTCTGATAGCGGTTGAGACAATAAACCACAGCGTTAGGAAGTGATAAAAGAGAAACAGAGAAAGAGAGAGAGAGAGAGAGAGAGAGAGAGAGAGAGAGAGAGAGAGAGCTGAGAAGAACGCCCAATCATCACTACACATCACTAACAAGGAACACCACAACAACACTGGGTCGACCTAACAACACAACCCATAATAAGACTACGAAAAATAAACAAAATAATAACTCGACATTTATTCCATTTATTCATTTATTATCTATTTCTACATCCCTTTATTTATTTACATTTTAGCGTAGTTTTTTGACGAGATATTTGCAAAATGATTTAGTTAATGTGTTTGGTTTTATCCTATCACATATATGTAATCTGGTTTTATATATTAGAAACCAGTCATGTTATCCTGCCTCGCCCGGGTGGAGGGACTGGAGATAATGCACATTGCACAGTCATTCCCTAGGCCACCCGCACCTCCCTACCAAAATTTCAACTCTTTAAAACTGTGGAAATGAATAAGGAACATAAGAACATAAGAAAAGAGGAAACTACAGCGGGCCTATTGGCCCATACTGGGCAGTCCCATTCACACCCAACCCCGATTGCTCGCTCAAATATCCATCCAACCTATGTTTGAAGCTATCCAGCGATTTCGAGTTAATGATGATATTTGGTAACTTGTTCCACTCGTCCACTACTCTATTTCCAAACCAATGTTTACCTTTTTCTCGCCTAAATCTAAATTCGTCTAATTTAAAAACCATTGTTAAGAGTTGCTCCTGGTTGGATAGTTTGAGTACCTTTGTAATGTCCCCTTTGTTTAGCCCTGACTTCCATTTATACACCTCTATCATATCGACCCTCACTCTACGTCTCTCGAGGGAGTGCAAATTAAGATGCTTTAACCTGTCTCTGTACTCAAGGTTTTTAATGCCCGGGATTAGTCTTGTCATTCTCCTCTGAATTCTTTCCAAGGATTGTATATTCATTCTGTAATATGGTGACCAGAACTGAACTGCGTAATTCAAGTGAGGTCTCACAAGCGCAAGATATAGTTTCAGGATGACCTCGCTAGTCTTGTAACTAACACTCCTTTGTATGAACCCAAGTACTTTATTAGCCTTGTTTCGGGCAAATACACATTGTTTACTTGGCTTAAGATTCCTACTTATCATTACTCCTAAATCTTTCTCGCAGTCGGATTTCTCAATAACATCGTTGTTCATCTGGTATCTGGTTTCCCTGTTTACATCTCCTATACTGAGTACTTTACATTTGTCCACATTGAATTTCACCTGCCATTTTTCAGACGATTCGAAAAATTTGTTTAGATCTTCATGTAGTTTAGCAGAGTCCTCGTCAGATTTAATAACACGTCCTATTTTAAAGTGTCATCAGCAAATTTACTTATGTTGCTGTCTATGCCGATATCTATGTCGTTTATGTATATAATAAATAATAATGGTCCAAGTACTGAGCCTTGGGGAACTCCGCTCGTGACGTTGCTTCAATAAGATTTAGTGCCGTTAATGCTCACTCGCTGTTTCCTGTCCTGTAACCACGCCCTAATCCATTTTAGAATATCTCCTTTAATGCCATGAGCCTCCACTTTTCTTATTAGTCTTTCGTGGGGGACTCTGTCGAAGGCTTTGCTAAAGTCGAGATATACCACATCATAATTGTGCCCCTCGTCCACTGATTCGAAAATGGATGAAAAGAATGTTAATAGTTAGTTAGACATGAACGCCCGCTTGTGAAGCCATGTTGGGAATCAGTGTTCAACTTTTACTTCTCCAGGTGATTTCGAATAGTTTGAAATGATTGCTTCCAGTAATTTACCTACAATAGATGTTAGGCTGATTGAACGATAATTACAGGATAGTGATCTATCTCCCTTCTTGAAAGTCGGTATTACTTTCGCTATCCTCCAGGATTCTGGTACTACACCCGTTCTTAAGGACATGTTAAACAACTTTGCTAAGGGCATACTAAGCTCTTCCTTACATTCCTTTAATACTCTGGCAAATATCTCATCGGGACCTGGCGACTTATTAGGCCTTAGTTTGTCTATTTACTTACTAACATCGTTACTAGTCACTACTATCTCGCTTAATTTATTTCTTCACTATCTCTGTATAGAGTCGGTGCTTCGGGTATCATGTTTAAATTTTCGGTGGTGAAAAATTTTGACAAATATTTATTTAGATTATTGCTCATTTCTCCGTCGTTATCAGTTAGCTCGCCGGTATCTGACTGTATTGGTCCAATCTTTTCTCGTGTTTTAGTTTGATACATTTGATAGAATCCCTTGGAGTTTGACTCGGTCTTAACCCAACTGGCCAATACCTTATAATAATCTCGGAGGTAAACCTCACCACGATTTATTCTCCTACCTACAGCCTTCCTTTGTCCTTTGAGCTGTGGTGCTGTTCTTTCTTAGTCCCTTTGTGACTCTTAAGAAGCTTACACCAGCCACTTGGGTTGCCCCGGGTTATAAGAGGCTTGTCCCCCCCCCTCCCTACTCAAACGTTTTGCAACCCTCTTGTGATCTATAACTGGGAGGAGATTGAAGGAGTTCCCCCTCTGAGAATGTTGATGATGATAGTGAAGATTGCAACAGATGGTTTTGGTCGGTATTATTATTTTAAGCGTGGGAATTATAGCTATCAGCTCAGCCCAGCCCAGCCCAGCCCAGCCCAGCCCAGCCCAGCCCAGCCCAGCCCAGCCCAACCCAATCCAACCCAACTCTGTCCTGTGGTTCTCAAGAATAATGCCCCACTAACTTTTGTCACATAATAAAGGAGCCTCGTCTCTCGTTATTCATTCGGTGACGCGGTTGTTAAGAGCCGGACAAAATTAAAACTACCTGTGAGAAATAGACGTTATAAGATTTTCTCAGTGATGGTAGGTGAGGTTAGGTATTGCAAACTTAGCGTTGACGATCTTTTGAAACCTAAAAACAAATTTTATTGTCTGGATATTATGGTACAGTTGCGGAAATATATTCTTTCTCCCCCTGTGGTAACCCGAGTCTCTAAACGGCCAACCTACAGGTATGTGACCCATACTCCCTATAGCAAATCCATCCACCAATCACGTCTGTCGTTTTACACTACCAATACCAATTCATTCATAAATACCGATACTACTACTGTGACGTTGCCGTTTGGAGACTCGGGTTACCACAGGGGGTGTAGGAACGCATTTCCGCAACTGCACCTTTGTATACGTTTTAAATATTTCAGAATTATCTACGACAATACACTATGAATATATCAGAAAAGCTTGAAAACATAGATATATAACTGATATTTTTGTGGAAGAAAGATGATATAACATGTAGGTTTTATTTCCAAAATTATATCCACTTTGTGATCAAGAAAAGCTTACGTAGTCTATCTGAAAGTCTGTGGACAGGAAGAGAGTGAGGACTGACCTAGAGCGAAGCCGTCCTTGGTCCACTGCGCCTTGCCCTGCTGGTTCTCCACCACACACCGGAGGAACACATCAGCGCCCTCCATCACCTCCACACTCTCGGGCGTCACGCGGAACCTCTGGAACCCCGCAGCTGAACCTGAGGGAGGAGGAACAGTGTGTGTTAGTGTGTGTCAGAGAACTTACATCAATCGTCTTGGTGATAAAAAAAGGGACAACGAGAGCGTGGAAGAGACGTAGAAGGAAGGAATGTTGTAGAAATATTAACACCCAGAAACCTTATATACCTCAGCGGAGACGTCTTGCACTAGGGAGTATCTTGTTGATATAAGTTAGAACATGTACAAGTCAACCTCTGAAGGATGGATACATCGTAGTCCTGTATAGCACCTCTTAGATTGTTTTACTTAACACATTGAAACTAATGTTACTACATTTTAAGTATAACATTAAATATCTTAATTTAAACTGCTTCAGTGTGCAGACAACGAATCAGTCGAAGTTCATATGCCGACCAGTAATCTATTCATTGGTTCTTATTCTGACACTCTTAACAAACAAGACCAAAACAAACACGTGTGGGAAAACATTGTCATACGTAAGCACCATGTAGTGAGTGTAAGTGTGTCTGTGTGTGTGTTACTCTCATTTTCATTACTTGATAATAATTTTACCGGCCTGAAAATATAGTATTCAGCCGCAGTGTTGTTACCTCAGAGGAGTAACTTAATAATACTTTTATTACTTTTTCCTTTTTGTCTCTCTGTCAGGACGCTCGACATTTTACTATGATTTTTTTTTCCCTGTTGTCAGTGAGGCAGCTGATCCGTCACGCTGATTTGCTGCTGCCCCGTTCTGTGTGTCCTTAACTGTGTAGTGCTGTGAGGGTGTGACACTACAGCAACCACACCCTGTAACACCATTACCCACACACTATAACACCACCATCCACACACTATAACACCATCATCCACACACTATAACACCATTACCCATATACTATAACACCACCATCCACACACTATGACACCATCACCCACACCACACCACACACTACACAACACATTTTTAAAGTTGGATTGTGAGTTGAAGGACCAAGGAGGAAAAATATGTGCCAGAGAGGAGGGGGCGTTAGGGCGGGTTGTGGGGGATAGGGGGGGGTTAGGGGGGTTAGAGGGGTTGTGGGGGATAGGGGGAGGTTAGGGAGGTTAGAGGGGTTACGTTAGTTAGCAGGTTGTGCTTGAAAATGATGTAAATTTGTGTGTGTGTGTGGTTTTAAGTTAGCTGAGGAAAGAGGTTATCTCGGGTAGCTGGCTTAGTGTATGTGTGTGTGTGTGTGTTCCCTGTGTTCTGCTGTGAGGTGAAGTAGGGAAAATATGTTTCCCCTAAATTCATATAAGTGTGGAAATGTGTTTATATTGTTACACACATATATACATACACACACATATACTGTACATACATACACACACATATACTATACCTACACACAAACACACATACACATACATAATACACACACTTATACATATACATACACATACACAAACACACACACACACACACACACACGGAAATATTCACCATTTGATACCCCAGAAAAGCTCCAGTTACAGTGATACCGTTTCGGAATTTTTTCATTTAAATTCAGAGGCTTTTTCAATCACAGTAATTGATAAAAGAGCAACATAGAGTTTCCTGGATCTGTGGACTGAGAGGAGATTGTTTTTGTATTTTTTCATCAACTTGGTTCATTTTCTTTTCTAATTCTTTAATTCTCGTTTCGTTTCTCGTTGTTTTAGTTTTACCGTCTTGGCTTTGTACTGTTCAAAGGAAAACGATATAAAGCAATTGAGTTTGACGGTGTTTGACGGTGTTTGACGGTGTTTGACGGTGTTTGTATCTCTACCAATGTTTATATCGTTAAGCCGCCTGAAAGATCTAAATGAAATCTGGTATACTGTACATGTTGGTGCGGACTGGCCTGCCACATGGACGAGTTTGTTATGGTATGTAAATTTCAAACCAGTTACCCTCTCTCTCCCTCTCTCTCTCTCTCTCTAAATTATTTCGTTGACATCCATTGCCTGTATAATATTCATCTAAAATACATGAAAATTCTTGGATCATGCTTACATACAGTAGGTGAATAATGTATAAGTTTCTTCTTTTGACGACACATAATCATATCGTAGTAAAAATCATGGGTTTTTTATGACTATAATGTGATTTGACAATCTTACCGAGATAACAGGAGTCACAGTGTTCATTCTGAAATTTATTGATCACCCCGAGTACTGATAGTTTTTGAGTGACTGTACATTACATCAGGGCCTCGCTGTAAGACACTCCTGTGATAGGGAACATGCTTTGTCCAGGTAGTGTTACTCTCGTAGGAGGAGCACTAGAACAATACGCCCTCATGTATAACAAAGGCTGGAGTGCGCAATACTGTCCACTCTCAACACATTCATATTTATATCCTTGTTGACCCGCTCCTGATTCACTGCCGCGTCAACAGTGTCACCCCGGCTTAGACAACTATTTATGGATCAGTGATTCATGACTTTCATATTAGATTCGTTGATTCGTGTACTAATATTTTTTTTGTCAACATTTCGTAAACAAAGTAGTAGTAATTGTTTTCTAGATTTGGTATACATACTACTACTACTTTGCTGTCACTCGGAAACGAGTATGACGATCATCCAGTATGATACAATGATATGAGTTATTAGGGATGTCACCTTCATTGGTAAGTTTTGAGGTGACTAAAGAGGCCGATACGGGACCGACAGAGTTCTTCACAGATGTTCCACATGTGGAGGGCTACATCGAGTGCGGGAGGGGCAGTAGCAGCATCTTTCTGGCGTTAGCGCTTGTCTGCCTCGGTTTACAGTCGGGCTAACTCGAAAGTATTGACACCTTCTCGTGTGGTGCTCCTCCAAGCGTTACGATGTGAAGTAATCGTCTCTCAGGTGAGGAGTTTAATTTGGCGTTTTTCAGGTTTGTCTTAAGACAATTCTTAGACCTTTTTAGTTGACCGCCAGGGTTACGTTTACTATTCGTTAGGTGACTGTAAAGTAGCTGCTTTGACAGTCTACTGTCCTCCATGAGGGTAACATGGCCAGTCCAACGTAGTTGTTCATGGACAATGGTAGCCTCGATGCTCCTACAGTTGGTGTCAGCAAGAATATTGGCATTTGTTCTCTTGTCTTCCCAGCTAACTCGGAAGATGGAACGTAGGTGAAAGCTTTCAAGTGCCTTGAGGTGCCTTCTATATGTGACCCATGTCTCGATGCCATACAGCAGGGTGGGGAGGACCACTACACGATATACGTGTAACTTTGTAGATAATTTCAGCTCCCTACATCTGGATACGCGGTTTCGGAGTCTGCCAAAGGCTTTAGATGAACATCTGATCCGATGCTGAATCTCGTCATCGATGTCCGCGGTGGTGGACAGGTGGGAGCCGAGATATCGAAAGTAGGGAACATTAGAGAGGGTAGTACCATTAAGATGGACGGATGGTAGAGGTGTGTCTGAACCAGGGGCAGGTTGAAAGAGCGTCATGAGACGCTCATTGTTCCCAATAGGCATTTCAGTTAGCCTGTGTAGGATGCGTTGGTGGATGGCAAAGCCAACTCCATAAATGCGGTTTCTCTCTGAAGTAGGCTTACCCTTCCAAAAGAAGGTATAGCCAGACCCCCGTTCTGTGAGCTGGCACTCATCCGGGAGCCGGGACTCACTAATGGCTGCTATGTCGAAGTTATAACTAGCCAGCTCGTTTGCCACAAGGGCAGTTCTTCTGTCAGGACGCTCATTTGTGCCAGTATCCTGAAGGGTCCTGACATTCCATGCAACGACCATAAGAGGTTGTATAGTATGTTTTATTTGGATCTGTGATTTTGACTGTGTTTTCGACTGTATGAGGATGACCTTACTGGGTGCGGTTACCGTGTCAGGTTGGGTTTTTTCAGTCCAGGCTATGTTTTGGCACCTTTTCTAGCCCCCTCCCCATGTGGGGTGAGCAGGGTGGCTCCTCGAAAGGGCTGCTCAGTCGCACAGACAGGACCGGATTGCACTGCTGCCTAGATCCCAGTGCATAAACGACCATCTTATCTGTGCCGCCCATGTACAGAGTTGTGACTAGAGACTCCCGGCAGTCATCTCTACCTGTCCCCGTCGCCACTCGTCCGTTGCCATCGGACGAGGGGTATAGGGGTTTGGATGATGATGAGTGGTATGATGAGCTGGATGATGGCTACACGTGAGTTGGTTTATGTGGTGAGGCAGGAGCGTAGGCTGCAGCCACACATCTTGGCTCTCTCTTTTCCTGATCCAGTTGTGCAAGTATTACAACGACTGAGGAGAGGGAGAGGGACTAATTCTGTCTATTGATATCATCGCTACAGCCCAGAGTTTGAACCAAATTTTATATTGAACACCTCGTTATAAGGCATTTTTCGTGTAGTCCCTGAGAAGTTCTTTATTTAGGGGTTCCACTCTTTATTTATTTGTATAAAATTGCAGCAATTACAGAATTAATATCTCGATACTATCGAGCAGACTGTAAGAGGAGGAAGGTAAGATTGTTATGAAGAGACCTGGAGTGGGTTGGTTAAGCTGCCTCTTGTCCAATAAATATCGATATTCTATTGTGACTTGGTGGAGCATCGCCGTGAACGCTGCCGGGCGATATTGCTTTTTGCTGCTCTCTTTAATGGCGGAATTCAGGCCCATTCTCATGATTTTTATCCTTAATAGAGTGAAAACATTATACGAGGGATACTGTACTGAGCCAGTTGTAAATTAGGGGAAGCTTATGCAACTAAGATACAGAGTCTGTGTTCTTTTGGTGATTTACTGTATAGTGTGAGTCACCAAGTGATGTAGTGAAGATTGGGTCGTCAGCCTCCACCAGCTGTGTGACCCACAGTGGTGCCCACCAGCTGTGTGACCCATAGTGGTGCCCACCAGCTGTGTGACCCACAATGGTTTCCACCAGCTGTGTGACCCACAGTGGTGCCCACCAGCTGTGTGACCCACAATGGTTTCCACCAGCTGTGTGACCCACAGTGGTGCCCACCAGGTATGTGACCCACAGTGGTGTCCACCAGCTGTGACCCACAGTGGTGC